ATATATATATATCTCACTTTGAGTTTCTATAAAAATAAGGCTGGAAAGTACAGAGTATTGGAAATAACATTTAGAGTGAGGTCACTGGTTACATTGACAAGTGTTGTATGAGTGCTAGAAATTTCTTAAACTCTACTCCATAGTGATAACATGATCAAATATTAGAAATCAGGATCTTTTAGCTGGGTGTGGTGGTGCACTCCTGCAGTCCCAGGTACTTGAAAGGCTGAGGCAGGAGGGTCACAAGTTCCAGTCCAGTCTAGGCAGCTTAGCAAGACTCTGTCTCAAAAGAATAAAAAGGCCGGGGATACAGCTCAGTGGTAGAGAGGCCTTGTGTTCAATACCCAGTAACAAAAAGAGAGGGAAGGCCTGGGGATTTAACTTAGGGGTTCCACCGCCTACTTCACAAGCACCAGGACCTGAGTTTGATCCCTGATACCAAAAAAGAGAGAGAGAAGGGAAAAAATCAGAATCTTTTAAGAAACGTAGGTGGTGTGGTACACTCTGGAATAACTTCCTTTTTGTGCTTATACTGTTTTTCACTCTTTTGAAAGGTAGGAAGACTAATAACGTTCAGAGCGTTGTAGAGAGCAAAGATTCTGTGGCTTAAAGTTATTTCATCTCTGGATTAATGAGCATTAAGCTTCAAAAAACTTAAGTCTTTACATATATTTTGATTCTCTGGTTAAACAGGAGTCTATTCCCAATTGATTTTATTCTTAATGTGCTTTGTGAACAAATAATCCTAGTAAACCATATTTTGCTAAAATTTTATACTCATGTGCAAGTTGATCATATTCTCATATAGTTGAAGAGTGGAAATATTCCTTACAATACTTTTGCACCAGAAACAGTTATGTCAGGGAAGCTGTTGACACTTCTTGGTAGTCGGGATCTCACTGTCTGAACACAGTCCAATGCAGACAAACCTTAGGCTCACTTTCCTTCTGCCTGTGGCTGGCAGCAAGTGCCTGGGAAGACTGTACTTACAACTCCACAGCCCTTGACAACTGGAAAAGAAGAAATGGAATGTTTCCCCTTCTCTCCTTACCATGCATTTATTATTACTCGTGGTTACTTTTCTCTCTGTTTCCTTTATAGATATAACCAAGAACTAAAAGCTAAAGCAATCAATTAAGAGTTCCTGATCACCCGAACAGTCTAACTGTGGACACAACCACCAGGATCCAGTTCGTTGTTTGATTATTGACAAGGCGATGCTAACTGTGTTAACATTTGGAGGGCAAACAAAAAAGTCTGGCTGTAATTGGTAACCAGTGCTTGTTCCACAAAAACTAGAGCAAACTTTTAATAAATCTCTCCTGACAGATGACTTAAGGAACTTACCGATGGATACGAGTGACATATTTTTCTACCGTCCGTCCATAATAAATCACTCTTGGTCATCCAACCCCAGCCTCCTGTTTTAGTTGGCAAACATGCGCATTAAAGAGCAAACAATCTGAAGGAGATGCGAGGTGGCTTAATGCAGGAAAGGCAGGCAGCTCCACGAGGGAGGAGGTGTTGCTCAAACCTCTGGCTTTTGCAGTCCTGGGGGTTAACTCAGGCAGTGTTGAGCTACACCCCAGCCTTTTTTTAAAAAATATTTTTGGCTTAAGACAGAGTCTCACTAAGCTGGCCAGGCTGGCTGCAGACCAGTGATCCTCCTACCTCATCCTCCCACACCTATCTGAAGCTATTTTTTTTAAAAGACATTTTAATTTGCCATGAAGTGTATTTTTTTTTTTTTTTGTTTGCTTTTTTTTTTTTTTTTTTTTTTTTCATTTTTTTTTTTTTTTTTTTTTTTTTTTTTTTTTTTTTTGGTACCAGGGATCAAGCTCAGGACCTTGCACTTGCGAGGCAGACATGGCGCCCCTGAACTAAATCCCCTGCCCTGAAATTCTTTTTATAGCTGTATATCATGGTTTTCTAAGCAGCCCTCTGGGTGGTTTACTTCACTCATTTGCTCAACACCAGGTTGAATAGGCCTGGGTTCTACTCAGCTCAGCTATTTGCTAACTCAGACCTGTAAATCCCTGTCCGAGAGATTTTTCAAGAGGAAACCAGGAATAACCACACTGGCTTCTTAGGACCACTGAAAAGATGGAAATCAAGTTTTAACACAATGCTTGGTTTGTGCTTCTGTTAATTAAATGAGCAAGAAACATCAAGTTTAAAATAGACTAAAAGTACTCAGACTAAGGAAGGTTTGCTTTAGCTGCAAAACAATATACCCAGTGTTTTGTGATTTGGCATCATTTCAAAGAAATATTGATCCAGCCAGGCATGGTGGTGCACGCCTGTAATCCCAGAACTCGGGAGGCTGAGGCAGGAGGATCGCTGTGAGTTCGAGACCAGCCTGGGCTACGTAGTGAGTTCCAGGTCAGTCTCAACTACATGGTGATACCCTGTCTCAAAAAACAAAAAAAAGAAAGAAAAAATATCAATCCAAGTACATCAATGCTGCCATTAGCCCATGTTAAACATTTATTTTTAAAAAGAAAAAAAACATTTATTTTTATGTTGTTAAAATGACAGTGAAAGGTTGAATGTTAAAAGGGGTTAACCTCAAAGTCTTGAGTTCCTCTCTGGGAGGCAGAAGGCCCTACTTCAGGTGACACAGTGCTGGCGCTTACTGAGCCTGAGTCCCTCCCTCAGGGCTCCGCTTACAGCAGCAAATTCCTTCAACAAAAAAGCGAAGTGAACCTCTTTTCTCCTCCCTTAAAATGACCGCTTTAGAATTTAATTACTGTATAGGGCTGGACTGCATTTGAGAACATGTGTGAACTGAACACTATCCAGTTCTTTTTAAGCTCCAGTTTTAAATATGTACTGCTACGCGTGAATTGCTGGGATACACATAAGAGCAGTGAGAAAATCAAACTCTTGTTTAGACTGTTAGAAAACATGCTTGCCTGCTAAAACATTTTCAAGTGTCACGTTGGAGTAATAAAACTCCAGTGTGCCAGGCATGATGGTGCATGTCTGTAATCCCATCATTTGGGAGGCTGAGGCAGGAGGATCACTGAGTTCGAGACCAGCCTGGGCTACATAGCGAGTCGCAGATCAATCTCAACTACATAGTGAGACCCTGTCTCAAAAAAACAAAACAGAAAACAAACAAACCTCCAATGCAGTGCCACATTGGATTTGAAATTATAATCGGGGTAAATTTGGTTAGAAGTATGTTCTTGATTATTCGATAGGATAGGTATGTAATCCCCCCCAAAAAATACCTCACACAAATCTCTGAAATTGGCACCGAGTTTGTTAATAATGAAATGGAATGGAGCCTAAGTGTTCCACGTAAGTGGTTTGTCATTTGCTGTGGAGCAGGGAGCTTATCCCGCAGATAGAGTGCAGAAAGGGACAAGCCCTGTCCCGAGAGAACGGATTAGGGGCCCTTGGAGACGTCCTCAGAACAAACTGCAACTAAGAAATCAAGAACTGCTTATTTCTGCAGTTTTCCATAGTAATATGTTCAACCCGCTTGACCACAATTTACGGCGTCCTTAGAAAGCAAAACCACACAGGGCGGTAGCAGAAGCTACTTCTCGTTTGGTTTGGTTTGGTACCAGGGATCGAACTCGGGTCCTTGGCGCTTGCGAAGCAGGCGGCAGCTACTTGTGTTTTTGATGATCACCTCTCAGCTGCTAATTGGAGGCACCCTCCCCAGGGTCGGGGAGAATCGTGCGAACTACTTCGGGGCGCAGCAGTGTCCCCTGCCCCGAGCCCCTTCCGGCGTGGCGGGGGAGGGGCCCAGCCAATCAGAGACATCCTCGGCCGTGCAGAACCCGGAGCTTCGGAAGAGGGCGAGGCCTGGAAAACGGCTTTTAGACTGAGCTGGCGTTTGGCGATTGGCTTCGCGGCTCAGCGGCGGGGAGACGCGGCGGCGGTACCGCTGCTGTCGGCGGGGTAAAGCCGCCCAGACCGCTCTCCTGTTTCCCACGCTCACCTGGGCTCTGGCTTTTCCTCAGCCTTGGAGGAAGACGGTCTGTGGAAGGAACAGTCTCGGTAGATGGCTGCAGAGCTAAAGACAGGGCAGCCGTCCTAGGAGAAGACAGGCTCCTGGCGTTCAGAAGGTGGGAAACCCTGGGGAGACGCTGGGAGTCCAGGCTCCAGCTCCCATTTACTTCTGGGTCAGTCTGTGGAGGCTGAAGTTTCAAGGCTGAAATGTCACCCCCTCCTCTTTACCCTGGATGCTCTCTCTTTCTTGCTTAGCCTCTATTTGCCTCTCCACAGCAACTTCTCACATAATATCTATGTTTTCATCATCCATCATAGTCCCTTCCATGGGGCGGGGGCAGAATCATGCTGTGGAAGAAACAAGGATCAGCAAGTAGAACATGAGCTCTAAACAGGGAGCTTACGACTCAAAGGAAGGGAAAATATGAACAGGTCAAAAAAATGATATTCATGTAGAAAATAAGTCATATAGGCCAGGTTGAGTGGCACACGCCTATAATCCCAGCCATGGGGAGGCTGAGTCAGGAAGATTGTGAGTTCAAGCCCAGCCCGGAATATGTGGTGAGACCCTGTCTCAAAGAGAGGGAGAGGAGGCCAGGGATGTAGCTCAGTGGCACCGTGCCTGCCTCAAAAGCACAAGGTCCTGAGTTCAATCCCTGCTACCAAAAAAAAAAGGGGGGGAGAGAGAAAGCTACATAAGGGGTACAGGCCCTAAATACTATATCTCAGAGGAAAAAGTACCATGGCTAGAGTGGCCAGGAAAGCTTTCGTGACACTACCCCTTTAAGTCCTAGTAGCGCCTCTGCTCTCCTGTGAAACCTGACCACGTGTTGATGAAAAGTTGAGCATAAACTGAAGTTTATTAGAAAATTCTGAAAGAGATATTTAGAGAAACAGTAGATATAATCAATCCCTACTTTCTTTCATTCTCACTTTTGGGTGCTGCTGAGTTTTCCTTAAATGGTGCAGCCCCACTTTCCTTCCTTCGGGAGATGTGTTCTTGTCTGTCTCCGGGGTTTCATTCGCCTGCTTGCTCCTTCACCTGGGGGTCATATGTCCCAAGAGCCTTCACGCTTCCACAGTACCCAGTCTGTTCATGCTCCAGTCTTACTGTGACAGAATTGGCCATACCGCTATAGAGGTACACATCTGTCATCCCAGGACTCTGGGAGGCTGAGGCAGGAGGGTCGCACCCACCTCAGACCCCGGCAGCCACCTATCCTGGCTCCGCCTCTGTGTGTGCACTGTGCTCAGAGTCCACGTGTGCGTGAGATCACGCAGTATTTTTCTGTGCCTGGCTTATTTCACTGAACATAATGTCCTACAGTTCCATTCGTGTTGTCACCAATAACGGCAGCCCTTTCTTTTCAGGGCTGAATAGCATTCTGGTGTGTGCACACCCACGTATCAGTGTGTGTGTGGGGGGTGATTTTCTTTAGCCATTCACCTGTTGATTGTGGGACTGCCCTTTTCTGCTCACCTGAAATCAGGTGTGTTCGTGAACCCGCTTGGATCAGTGTCGAAGTGAAGTGGATCACTTCCGGGAGGAGAATCACTCGGTCCCGTGGCAGCCCCTTTCCCCTGCCTTGGCTGCCCCAGGGGCCCGGCCTCGGCCGCCCAGCCCACCTGCGACGGATGTGCAGTATAAGCCAAAAAACGAACAAGAAACGAACCTTCACTGTTTCCAGCCACTGAGATGCTGGACTTGCTAGGGAAGCAGGACCTCGATGAGCCTGAGAGGCACAGACCTGCCTGTCCGTGTTTTCTGGGATCCCCGTGCGGCCTGTCTGTGCAGCCTCACCCACTGTGTTGAGTTGGCCTTGTACAGAAATGGACAGCCATATTGGTCTAGAAATGTTAATTTTTTTTTACTTTTTATTTTTTTTCCATGTGTACAGGGGTAACACATAGTACTAAATATGTAAGGTCATATTTATTTTCCCTCTTCTCTCTTCTTTCCTTCTCTTCTCGTCCCTTCCCTCCCCTCTCCTCTCCTCTGTTCTGGAGATGGAACTCAGGTCCCTCTGCATGCTAATATACTCTACAACTGAGCTCCACCCAGCCCTACCATTTTCTTTTGACATATTATCCAATGTCTAACGTATAGTGCTCATTTTAGAGGTTTTATACCTTTTTAAATTTCACTGTTAAATAGGCTAATGTTTTCCCTGAGTTAGTGTTTGTTGTTTGTTTTTTTTTTTAACATTCACTTAAGTCTAAAGAATATACGTGCCTATTTCACATCTCCCTTCTGATATTCAGGCAGCCCAATATACTCTATGTCTGGTTTGAATGGCTAACCAGTTCCTCCCTGTTGCTCTGAATTAAACCAAAAATAAGCCCAGTGAGGTGGTGCAGGGCTTTGATTCCAGTGCTCTGGGAGGCTGAGGCAGGAGGATTATCAAATTTAAGTCCCCCTGGGCAACTTAGCAAGATCCTGTCTCAAAATGAATTTAAGCAGGGGTGAGGGGAGAAGTAGGGTGCCCCTTAAGGGTAAAGTGCTCCTGGTTTTCATTCCCAGTACTGCACACACACACCCCAAAAATCCTCGTTTTCTTTTGAGACAGAGTTTCGCTACATAGCCAGGCTGGCCTCAAATTCATAGCAAGCTTCTTGCCTCAGCCTCCGAAGTACTGGAACTATATTTTTAAAAATCCTCTTATTTTCTGTATCACTCATTCCAGGAACGTGTCTTGCTGTAAAGAAGCCGTGAGTGTTCAGGCTGATAGAACACGGTTTTTAACCACAGTTAGCCATGAGCATTTAATCTCCTCCAGAAGCTAAAAGAAGGCTTCAGGAAATCCTAGTTTTCTCAGAGCTAGCTGAACTGCGAATTAAAATGTTTAGCATTTCCTTCCACCCACAGCTTCAGGCCTTCCACCCTGTCTGTGGCGAAGGTGGCCACACCCACCGCTCCCCACACTCACCCCTGGAGTCCTCTCCCTCGCTGTGTTGCACCTTGATACATTTCTTTACCTCTCCTAGGACTCTCGTACTCATCTACGAATGTGTTCACACATAAACTCGCATCTGCACTGTTTAACTTTCAAAGGGACCAAAAATGAGAGACCAAAATGTGGAGGTTGGAGGCTGATCAGGAAACAGCACAGGAGAAGTGGCCTGCGTGAACAGAGTTCCTGGCCCACTATGGCGGTCGGATTTCTGTCACTGGGGCAGGGGACAAAATCCCTGGCAGTCAGCTCAAAGGAGGAGAGGCTCATTGGGCTCACGGCTGCAGAGGCCTCAGTCCATGGTAGGCTGGAACATCACGGCGGAGGAAATGTTCTCACCTCAGGCAGCCAGGCGGAGGAAATGTTCTCACCTCAGGCAGCCAGGAAGCAGAGAGGAAGGAGAGAGCCGGAGCAGAGAAGCTCTTCAAGGACACGCCTGAGTGACCTGCTTCCTCCAGCCGGGACTCACCTCTGGATAGCCTGGGACGAGCTCATGGGCGGGTTAGTTCGGGGAGGAGCTTCGCAGCCTCACCGTCCAAGGGCCCCTCTCGGCTACTCTTCATGCATTCAAGTTCACACTGGAGCTTTCGCCAGTGAGGCCACCTACCCCAGGCCTGCAGTGAAGGCAACCCCTTCATAAAAATGCGTGGACTCCTTAGGCACATGGCCCTGCTCTGTGTCTGTAACCGCACTGAGGGCTGGAGGTCCAGCCGTGAGGGTTTTCCCTCTTTAGGGAAAAGTGGTCCTGCCAGGCAAGGTGGTGCACACTTGTAACCCCAGTTTCTCGGAGGCTGAGACAGGAGGGTCACAAGCTGAAGCTCAGCCTGGGCCATTTAGAGACTTAGCGAGACACTATTTTAAAATGTTTTTTAAAAGCGAAAGGAGATGTAGCTCAGTTTGAAGGCCCTAGGCTCAATCCCCAGTAACACAAATGAAGGGAGGGGTCCTTTTGAAGTGTGACTCACCAGCTCTGACACTGTCACCACCAGTCACCCAAATGAGCAATCCACAGCTTGGCCCAGAAACAGCGGAGAAAATACAAGTAGGAAAGTGGGTGAACAAAGACGTCAGGTTGCTTCCATTCCCGACTTTACTTCCTAGAAGGCCTGCTTGGGCACTGCTTCCTGTTGCCAAGAGTTTCTAGAAATCTGCCTCGAACATGAACACGCAGAAAGAATCACAGGATAACGCCATCGTCCGAATAGCAGCTCATTTACCAGACCTCATTGTCTATGGCAATTTCTCTCCGGAGCGGCCCTCCGTGGATTATTTTGACGGTGTCCTGATGTTTGTTGATATTTCAGGCAAGTGCCAAAGGGACGCGTGGTTATATGGTCACAGGCTCACATCGGCGTTCCCGCAGACTTGAGGGCAGCAGCAGACTGGGGTAACCTCTGGGGCCTGGGGCCCTCACATTCCCACCCCAACTTCACACGTCCCTGACAAAACCGACCTCAGGCCAGGCGAGGTAGCCTCCGCCTGTATTTTCAGATGCTCTGGAGGCTGAGGCAAGACCCTGTCTCAAAATAACTTTTTTTTTTTTTTTTTTTTTTGGTACCAGGGATCGAACTCGGGACCTTGCACTTTGAGGCAGGCGGCAGAACCACTGAGCTAAATCCCTGGCTCTCAAATAAAATTTTAAAAAACCGAGACTGTATCTCAGAGCTCTCTGCAAAAAACAAAGCCCTGACCTCAGGAAAAGATCTGCCTGGAGCCTTACATCTCTGTGTGTGTGTGTGTGTGTGTGTATGTGTGTGTGTGTGTGTGTGCGCGCGCATGTGTGTGGCTGGAGACCAAGCAGCACAGGGATGCTCTACCGCTGAGATAATATTCCCAGCCCTTTTTGTTTTTTTATTTTGAGACAGGGTCTTGCCCAGATGTGAGCCTCATGCCTCAGTCTCCCAAAGTGCAGCAGCTTGGCCAACCCAGAGTTTCCTAACAGTCATCTTTGTGACTGGTCAGGCATCAGACATAGCATCCTGTCGGTGTTTATTATATCAGAGGTTGAGAAAAGTTTCCAGATATTTCTTCCCTCTAGATGCCCTATTTCTATAGTGATGACTGCAGTACCTTTAACTGGGAATAGAATTTATGTCCCATGGTAATAAAAATACACAAATTTCAGCTGGGCATGGTGGCGCGCTCCTGTGATCCTAGCACTCAGGAGGCTGAGGCAGGAGGATTACTGTTGAGTTCGAGACCGGCCTGAGCTACACAGTGAGTTCCAGGTCGTCTCAACTACATAGTGAAACCCTGTCTCAAAAACCCGAAAATAAATAAATAAATAAATAAGAAAGAAAACACACAAATTTCAAACTCTTCTGAAGAGCTGGCTAGCTTACTATTAAAATGCAAAGAGCAGGGCCAGGATTTAGCTCAGTGGTGCCACCACCTGCCTTGTAAGCACAAGGTCCCAAATTCAATCCCTGGTACCAGAAAATGAAAAAATGAAAAAATAAAAGAGATGTAAAGATCAGCCAGCACAATGGTGCACGCCCGTAATGCCAGCGCTTTGGAAGGCTGAGGCAGGAGGACCACAAGCTGAAGATCAGCCTGGACAACTTAGTGACTTAGACTTTGTCTCAATAAGGGCGCAGGGGTAGAGGGTGGGCTGGGATGTAGTCAAGTGTGAAGACCCTGGGTTGAAGCCCCAGGACTAAGAAAGAAAGAAAGAAAGAAAGAAAGGGAGAGAGAAGGAGGGAAGAGGGACGGAGGGAGGGAGACTCTCCCAGTGGGCCCCTCCTGCTGCTCTGCTTGGTTCCTCCACGCACCTGAAAGCAGCTGTTCCTTTAGGTTTCACTGCCATGACGGAGAAGTTCAGCACCGCCATGTACATGGACCGCGGGGCCGAGCAGCTGGTGGACATCCTGAACCACTACATCAGCGCCATCGTGGAGAGTGAGTGAGCCCTCGGCTTCGGGCTCCCGAGTGTGTCGGGGCAGTGCCTCCTGTGCCTGTCGCCCACACCCGCGTGCAGCTCCTGGGGGGCGCCTGTCTTCCCCAGGAAATGTGGCTGAAGCCACTGTGTTCTGAGGACGTCCCGCGGTACAGCTGAAGGCTTAGGGTCAGGCCTCACAGGACAGACTCGTGAGGGAAAGGATGCTCTGCCGTCCTTAAAAGGCTGGCAGGGCCAGGGATTTAGCTCAGTGGTTCCAGCTCCTGCCTGGAAAGAGCAAGGATCCAAGTGTGATCCCCAGTACCAAAAAAAAAAGGGCTGACATTCTTCATTTATTTATGTATTTATTTCACATTTTGCAGTAGTAGGGATTGAACCCAGGGCCTTCCGATGACCTGCATCTCCAGCCCTCTTTTATTTTTTGAAACAGAGTCTTGTTGGGTTGCCCAAGCAGGACTTCAACTTGCAATCACCTGATTCAGCCTCCCAACGTGTGGGATTCCAGGCATGCACTACCATGCCCAGCTGAAGAGCTTTTTTTGTAAAAAGAACTAGAGGAGCCATACGTTTAGTCATACTTGATATATTCATACACTTTTTAACCCTGGCATCTGTGTACCCAAACACAGTCCTACAGGGATTGAGAGGAGTGGCTTAGCGTCGACTCCTCAGCCCTTCATCTCCTCACAACGGATCGTGAAGCCCTCACAGCTGAGAGAAACGTCTGCCCCCTTTGTGCCTCTGTCCATCTCGTCTGCGCTGCTCCTCTGCGCTGTCCCTGAGGAAAGGAAGCTGTAGGCCCGCTGCCTTCCCAGGCCTACTCCCTGGTAATATCTTAATGTTCCCTGCTGGACCCAGTGTGACGCTCCTGAAAAGCAGAAAGGGCCCAGAGTGCTTCCTTGTATCTCAGCGTGTGAGACGATGCGTTCGTGACAGGGCACAGGTTAGAGAACGAACGGCCGCCGTGGGAGTCTAGCTGGAAGGCCCAGGACGGGGGACAGCACCCAAGTTGGCCGTGGCTTTGCTGTCCCACTTCCTGGCCCCCATTCTCGGGTAGCCCTGCCCCTCATCACCTGCTCGGGGCTCGGGCCCACCTGGGGACCCACCTGTCCCCAGAGGAGGGCAGCCGGCCTCGTCCCCGCCGGAGGCCCCGCTGCCCCTCTCCACATCCCGTCTGCAGCGACGGAGACCAGACACGGGCCAGGCCAGTGAACTCTGTGGGCATTTGAGGAAGCAGACCCGGTGGTTTACAGAAGTCTGTGTTCTGAATTGCTGCCTTTCTGACCCTCTTTCTTGTCCCAATGAATGCATTCCTTGACTACCTTTAAGAAATCAGTCAGCTGGGCATGGTTGTCCACATCTGTAATCCCAGCTGTCTGGGAGGCTGAGGCAGAAGGCTCGCAAATGCAGGCCCACCGGGCAACTTAAGTGATTGAGTAAGACCCTGTTTCAAAGTAAGTTAAAAAAGGACTGGGGGTGTAGCTCAGTTCAAAGGCCTTGAGCTCAGTCCCTAGCACTGACGAAAAAATAAAAGGAATCACAGCTTGATTATCCTCCTTTCCCCTCCCAGAAGTGTTGCTCTTTGGAGGAGACATCCTGAAATTTGCAGGTACACTGACCGCGCGTGCGGGTGGGAGAGGGCGGGAGACGGGCCGAGGACGGTGTTGGGGAGCAGAGGGCCTATTGAGACTCACAGGGTGCGCCCTGGGTGTCTGTCCCCCCAAGGAGACGCGCTGCTAGCCCTGTGGAAGGTGGAACGGAAGCAGCTGAAAAACACCATCACCGTGGTGGTCAAATGTAGCCTGGAGATCCACGGCCTGTTTGACGAGAAGGAGATGGAAGAAGAGGGCCTGGACATCCAAGTGAAGATAGGTGAGCGCTGGGCAGGACGGCACGGGGGCCGGGACCGGGACGCCAGCTAGGAGGAGCCGGCGGGGCGGTCTGCGGTCTTTGTCACGCCCTTGGGCCGCTGCCCTCAGACCTTGCTGCAGGGCAAGGCAGGGGAGTAGCCAGGACAGCAGGGGAGCAGACTGTCCTTACCCAGGCTCAGCGGTGACCCGAGCCTGGTCTGTCCCCACCTCAGAAGAGTGACATTCACGCGAGGAAAACCCAGCAGGCTGGGCCGGGCGGGACACACCTGCCATCCAGCACCGAGGGGGGCGACTCCCAAGTTCCAGTCCCACCGGACAAGGAGTGAGGCCCTGTCTCAAATACAAAGTGAAAAGGGCTGGAGACCGCGCTCAGCGGAAGGCTTCTCCTGGGCTCGAGCCCCGGCACTGTGCAGGGAGGAGGAAGGAAGGAGGGAATCGGGAGGCTGAGGCAGGAGGATCACCATGAGTCTGAGGCCAGCCTGAACGACACAGTGAGACCCGTCTCAAAAAACACACCAAAAAAAGGGTGGAAAAAGAAAAACTTAGCATAAGCCTATGGCACACACATCCAGTCCCAGGCAGAGGCCTCTCGCGCCATCCCACAGTGAGGAGGGAGATTCTGAGAGGCAGGAGTGACGCGGCCCGGCCAGACTGCGGTGGTGCTGGGGCGTTAGCTTCCACCTAACCCAACCCTGTAAGCCTCGGAAGTTCGACGTCAGAGCAGGTGCGCGCATCAGAGTTCCTCTGTAACTACCTGGAAGCTCTGCTTCATTTTGCTTTTATTCAAAACTTCTAGCCTGCGGGGGTCACACACCTGTGCTCTGGGTGGCTGAGGCAAGAGAACTAAACCTGAGCCCAGCCTGGGCAACTCAGGGACTTAGCAAGACCCTGTGTCAAAATAATCTTGACTTATTTTTTTAAAGGGCTGGGATTGTGTACTGCAACCACATACTAATAAGAAAATTAAATATAAAGGGCTGGGGATGTAGTTTGAATACCCTGAGTTCAATTCCCTAGTACCACAGTTAACACCTAGAGAGACGCCTTTTTTTTGCCCCAGTATTGGGGATTGAACTCTTGTTCTTTGCACCAAGCTACATCCCCAGCCCTTTTTTATGTTTTTATTCTGAGACAGACTCTCACTTAAATTGCTAAGTTGCCCAAGATGGGCTCAAACTTGAGATCTTCCTGTCATAGTGCCTGTACGAACATATTTTTGTGTCTGTGTCATATTCCACACCTGACTCCTTTGCTCAGGAACCAAAACCTCCATCACCCAACTGGAGCACAATCAGACAAAGCACTGTAGCCTCTTCTCCCTCATGAACAGATTGCTACCTGGACTCATGCTAGGGGTTCTTTTTCAGGTGAAATCTCAATCTTTGATAAAATGAAAATCCTCCCCCAACAGGAATTTTGAAGCTGTTTTCTGCCTGGCACGGTGGCGCCTGCCTTTTACCCTAGCACTCAGGAGGCTGAGGCAGGAGGATCACTGCCAGCTCAAAACCAGCCGTAAATACATAGCAAGACCCGGTCTCAAAACAACAACAACAACAATACAAAAATGGGGGTGGGGTGGGAACGTGGCCCAGTACAAAACTCCTAGGTTCATTTCCCAGCCTTTGCAGAATAAACAAATAAGCTTTCTGTTGCTGTTACTTAGTATCAACAATTTGAAGACAAAGTAAAAATAACTTTGTCACAAAAAAGGTATCACGGGCAAAAACTATTGGCTGAGCTTTCTAGCCCTTGGAGAGATGGGCGTTTTAGACTTCAGAAGTCCAGGAACCTGGAAGAGGCTTTCTCTTATTCCTGCATTAAAGCGGGGTTTGTTTTATTTTGTTTTGTTTGTTTTGTTCTGTCTGAGACAGGGTCTTGCTACTTAGTTCAGGCAGATCTTGAACTCAGTATGGAGCCCAGGCTGGCCTCAAACTCAGCGACCCTCCTGCCTCAGCCTCCTGAGCACTGGGATTACAGGCCTGCACCATCACACCCTGCTCCTACATTAATTTAGAGGAGAGATTTTACTCTGAAGTTCACACCGAGCTCCTGATCTTTCCCAGACCAGCACTGCTGGGCCATAACCCAGGTTTCCCGAGCCAACCTTTGTGTTCCCTGCCCCGCCAGGGCTGTCTGCCGGCCACATCACCATGGTAGTCTTCGGGGACGAGAGGCGCAACTATTTCCTGGTGACCGGCCAGGCGGTGGATGACGTGCGGCTGGCACAGAACCTGGCGCAGATGAATGACGTCATCCTGTCCCCCAACTGCTGGCAGCTATGTGACCGGAACATGGTGGAAATGGAAAAGATTCCAGACCAGAGAGCAGTGAAGGTCTGTGGGGCGCCGCCCGGGTCTGGGGGGCCGTGGAGGGGCGCGATCCCCAGGCCTGGCCTGGGCTGACAAGTGGGAAGGAGTCAGGGCTGGGGAGCATGTGGGGCCCTCACTATCCAGGGGACCCTCCAACCCAAGGAGAGCTTAAGCACTGGAGGCCAGCGAGGGCCGAGCTGTGCACTCTGGGAGGCTGGGGCAGGAGGGTCCCAAGTTCCAGCTCGGCTTGGGCAATTTCATACCTTAGACCCTTGCTCAAAATAGAAAGCGTTGGGGAGCCAGGACTGCCAGCTCAAGGCCAGCCTGAGCTACATAGTGAGACCCTGTCTCAAAAAAATAAACAAACAAAAAATTCAAGTTTACCCACTGCAGACCTTTAGTGTTTAAGCCTGCCAATCGCTGTGCCCGTGTTCTAGACATTCGAAAGCATACACCCGTACGCCCTCACTTTCTGCCAAGAGATTATACGCGAAGGACCGGGTACTAATCAGAATAACCACAGACTTCTTGTTTTATTGTATTCAGGTTAAGTTCTTAAAACTACCTCCTACGTTTAACTTCGACGAATTTTTCAAAAAGTGTATGACCTTCATGAACTATTACCCTTCGAGCCAGCTCAAAAGTAAGTACTCTTCGTAACGTAACCAAGTCCTCCCCGCTACTGGCGGCCAGACCAGGAGCTGTGCTGGCAGATGGCGGATCACAGTAACAGAACGTTGCTCTGAAGCCTCCTTCCGATGCGCCCTCCCTGGAACACCCTCCGCCCACCGCGCTGGCCGCTTTCTGAAGTGGTCCTGCCGGCCTCTCGCGCGCGCCTCTCGTGGCACTGCCGTGGCCGCCCCCATGTCCTGGATTCGAAATGCTCCTCTCTCGCGCGGTCGTGGGGGGTTCATGGTGCTGTGCCTTCTCATGTAAACTTTTAAAGGTGAGCACTCGCTGTGCATTTTGATCATAACCTGCACCCCTCACCTCCGAGTCCTCACCGGCCTGCAAAGGAGGCCCAGGTGCCTCCCTCCTGACGCCTTCACCCTCTCCCTCCGTCGCCCTCGGAACACCCCTAAGCCTGTCCCATGATGAAAGCGAAGAGAGAAGCCCCTGAGTTCCTCACCCATTAATGTGTGTGCTCATCGGCCTGCATCCTGGTAACCCCTGGCTGATCGACTCCCCCGATACACACTGATTACTTGTGTGCTGGGTATGAGTGTGTTCACCTCCTCTTGGGTCTTTTATTTTTTGTTTATTTGTAATCCTTCAGTGACCGAGTCTTGCTCTGTAGCCCGGGCTGTCCTCGGCTCTCGGGCTCACGCAGTCCTCCTGCCTCGGCTCCAGAGTAGCAGGACCGCAGCAGCGTCCCTTTGCCACGCTGGTCTTGGGCCCCGACCTCTGTCTCTGCTCCCCTCTGCTCTGCTGAGACTTAGACCACGGCTGCGCTGACCTGCCAGAGTGGGTGGTCTCTCCTTGCGCCTCACTCCAGACGGCTGCCCTTGGATTGTCCTCTTTTCTTCTTCTTTTCTGGACACTGTATTCTCCGTTTTCCTTTGGTTCAAGAGTATTCTTCTCTACTTTTGTTTTTGCGTGCATGTTCTGTCTCTGTCTCTGTCTTCCTCCTCCTCCTCCTCCTCTGCCTCTTCCTCTTCCTCTTCTTCTTCTCCTTCTCTCTCTCTCCTGTGTCTCTTTCTTTCCTTTGAGCTCAGTCTGGCCTTGAGCTCCCTTTCCTCCTGCCTCTGCCTCCCCCATGCTGGGCGGATCACAGCTGTGTGCCACCACTCCCTGCCTTTTCTTTTCTAGTTTTGTTTTTAGTCCCCCCAAAGACACATTTTCAGGCCCCTTGGCTTAGTTTCCTTCCCATCCCTTAAGTGTTGGTGTTACAGGGCCCAGTGCCCTGTCCCACACTCGGGAAGAACGAAGCTGTACAGCCAGGAAGTACAGTACAAGCAAATTTATTTAGAAGCTATGAAGGCAAGGACGTAGCGCTCCTGATGACCGGGAGGCGTCCTGAGCAGGGTCCCCTGAGGTTCTTTGTCCGGGACTTGGTACTGGGTTTAAAGAGATGGCCTGCTGTCGTGTAGGTGCTGTGATCTCCACCCTAGAGGAGAGACATACTTTTGGGGTCCGATCTATGCAGTGCCAACGGTCTACCTGACCCTTGACAGCCCAAGAGACACCCGACTGATGTTCTGTAAGATCCTGGAAGGTTGTGACTCAGCAGGCTCCACTGCCGGGCTGCTGTCCTTACTGCCTCGTAGAATCCACTGCTGTCCCACCAACTCCTGTTCTGTGGGTGTCTGGATTGAGGCAGTAAGAAGCCCGGGGCACGATGGGTATGGTGCAGATCTCCATAATCTCAGCACTTGAGAGGCTGAGGCAGGAGGGTGGCAAGTTTGACTTTCATCCCGGGCAATGAAGTGACTAGCAAGGCTCTGTCTCAATATAAAATAAAATAAAATAAAATGACTAGGGATGTAGCTCGGTTCCATCCCCAGTGCCGCCACCACCCCAGCATCCCCACACATAAGAAGAAAGCAGAAACAAAGAGTATAAAGCCCACTGACATTTCAGGGTTACTTTCCTTGTATGGCAAGGGTGACAGAGTGTGATACAAATAGCTCATTGGTTAATACTACTTTCTTTCTGTGCGGGAGCTTCATTATCCTGACAAATGAGGCTGGGAGATTGGGTTGTTATCTCTCTAACCTTGACCTTTCTCCCAGACCGTGTAGACAGCTTTGTTTCCCAAGCCGAGTGATGCTATCTTGACTGTGAGGCCAGGGCGGTGGCGGGGGCATGTAGGAGCCTAGGCCGAACCAACGGCCTCGGTGATCCTTCCTGACAGTCCCCAGTCTGAGATCCCAGGCCAGTTCCCTGCACCCTACTCCTGCGGCTCTGCCTACTGTGTCCTCCCGGCCTCCTGTGATGTCACCCAGACTTCCATTCCCACCCCTGTCCGCGACGGCTTCAGCTCAGGCCCCCGGGGAAATCTCAAATCCCATGACAGGATGACAATCAGACCAGGGTACTGAGCCCCAGACCTCCCACAGCTGCTCCTCGGCCCGCCCGCCCCCTTCGGCCCGGGCTTGGCAGGCCCGGGGTGGGGTGGCTGCTCCCTGAGGCCCCTCCTCTGTCCCCAGCGCTGAGGCTGGCCTGCCTGCTGGAGTCCAACGCGGAGCTGGAGGGGTCGCTGCAGAAGTACCTGATGGAAAGCATCCTGAAGCAGGTGCCTCCCTGAGCGAGCGCGGGTGTGTGGGGCCAGGGTCCCGGCTGCAAAGAGATTTGTAGAAGAGCAGCCAGTAAAATGCTCCTTTGAAATAAAAAGACATTATGTGTAGGTGACTTCAAAGTGTATCGCTCAAGTCAGGACACTGGAACTGAGCTCAGTGGCACAAGGTCCTGAGCTCAATCCCCAGTACCAAAAACAAGTAAAGGAACCCAGTGGCCGGGGTTGGCGGCACTAACCCATCAGCCCAGTGCTGGGGAGGCTGAGGCAGGAGGATTGAAGGTTCCAGGCCAGCTCGGGCTACATTGCAGGACCCTGCCTCAAACAAGCAGATGAACGATAGCATTAAAGTGAGGGCCGGAGACCAGCTCAATGGTAGAACCCTGAGCTTGCCTAGCGTGTGAGGCTCTGGGTTTGAGCTCCAGCACTTAAACCAAAGTGGAGTTACAGGGGGTGTTACTGAGGGATGCCATGACAACAGTGTACAGGAGGGCTCTGCCTTCCTACAGCACTGGGCGGGTGCAGCTGTGGCTCCCATCTCCCTGCGACACACCACGGCACAGGGGCTAAGTACGCATGCGTGAGAGTCACTGGCATTAGATCTTAGGTCTTTAGACTCTGCAATTTAACTAGCTAGAGCACCTGTAATGACCTTCAGCTCCCTGAAGTTTTCGCTTTTATAAGAGAACACACAGAGGTGGGGTGGGGAGAGAACATGTGTTAAGAGGTTGTGTTTGTTTGGTTTTTTTGTGACAAGGTCTTGCTGTGTAGCCAGACTGTCCTCAAACTTGGGGCCATCCTCCTGCCTCAGCCTCCTGAGTGCTGGGACTACATATGTACTACCATACCAAGCAATTTGCTTCTTTTGCGGGGGGTACTGGGGATTGAACTCAGTTCCTTGTGCTTGCGAGGGAGGCGGTGGAACCACTGAGCTAAGTCCCAGCCCAGTTTGCTTCTTTTTTTTGAAACAAGGTCTTGCTATGTAGTTGAGGGTGGCCTTGAACTCACAGAAATCCCCCTTCCTCAGGCTCTCAAGGGCTGGGATTACAGGAGCTGTGTTACCGTGTCCGGCCTTCCTCCCCCCTGCTCCTTCTCTCCCTTCCTTCCTGAAAGAGGAGACCTTTATTCTGTGACTTTGTTGAGCGTGAAACATCCTGACTATCTGGGCGTGGTGGCTCACATCTGTGATGCAGTTTAGGGGCGAACTGCGCGGCCCAGAACTGAAAGTAGGGGGCAGAGAGAGCAGCTGTGCTCCCTCTCACTGTGGTGACTCAGCTTGGCGTGAGGGAGCCTGTCCTTGGGGTAACACAGTGGGCGTCGGCCCAAACTCAGCAAATGCATGAAGTGGTCCCTGGAAAAGATTTGGGCACTATGCTCATTTCCCTCCGCTCCATTTCGGGCGAGCTGGCTATGCTGCCTTGCCCCTCACGCATCCTGCTAACCTCAGCTTCTCCAAAGTCTCAGGACCGCCCTTTTGCCAGGTGTGGTGGCAAAATCTGCACTGTAATCTCAGGACTCTGGGAGGCTGAGGCAGGAGGATCCAAAGTTCCGACCCAGTCTGGGCAACAGATGCTGTGTCAAGATAAAAAATAAAAAGGACTGAGTACACTGCTCAGTGTGAAGGCCCTGGGTTCAACCCCCGAGTACTGCAAAAAAGTAAATCAAAGAGATTTTAGGGTTGGGAACAGGGCAGTGTGGGATGAACTGAGGGCCGCTCCCAACCTGGCAGATTGACGACAGACAGCTCCACGGCTACTTGTCTGAGCTGCGTCCGGTGACGATCGTGTTTGTGAACCTGCTGTTTAAAGACCGAAGCAAGGTAGAAGCCATAGGCTCGGCCATCCAGAGCGCCTGCGAGCACATCACCTCCGTCCTGCAGGCCTTCCGAGGCCAGATCAATAAAGTCTTCATGTTCGACAAGGTACACAGGACCGGGGCGGCCCGGCCAGCAGCTGGAGGCGGGAGGAGCAGCCGAGTAGAAACTTAGCTGCAAACGTCAGTGTTTGCCGAGGGCCGGGCATGCGAGGTCCACACGGCGCGTGTGCGCGCCAGGCACACTTGGCACAGGAGGAGGGACAGAGGCAGCGGGGCGCGGGGCAGGGCTTAGACTGCATTGCAGCGGAAGACACAGGGGCCTCGCTGCGTGCACACTTGTCCCCGCCTTCCCGCCACTTTCTGGAGCAGCTCTGCAAGTCCCCTTACCCCAGCGTGGGACTTCGGGCTCTGCCCCAAAGTCTAAAGAACCACGGAAAAAACGTTCTGCCTGGGTTCAGGACGTGGAGGCGGCCAGGACAGCAAGACCCACAGCACTCACGACAGGGGACTTCCAGAACGGCTTCAGAAAGGGACAAGGGCGATGGGAGGAGCGGGCTCCTAGCAGTGCGTGTTTTTCTGTTAATAGGCTTTTTACAACTTAAACAGGCCTGCCTCTCTGAGCTCATCTGCCCCTCCTGCCTGCTCTCGTGACGGGTGCCCTGTTCAGAGGGTGAATTCTGAGGCAAGGTGGGGTCACGCTCTGCTCCTGCTGGGCTCCAGCCTCTCAGGCCGCCTTCACTCTTCGCACGGGAACAGGGCTCCAGCCCGACCTAAAATGGCTTTCCCAGGGTGTGAGGGCAGAGCCTGCCACCCTGCGCACCCGCAGTGTGTGTCCAGCAATCCCCACCTGCCGTGCCCTTACCTTCTGTCCCAGTCAGGGGAGAGGAGGCGAGGGGAGGGTCAACTCCAGCCAAGTCCAAAGTGCTTTTCATCGGTTTTGTTTGCTCTCCGAACTGGGGGCTGAGACCAGGGCGTTCACACTGAGCCACATTCCCAGCCCTTTTAAATTAAATTAAATTAAATCAGCTGTCTTATTTAGAGACATATTCTCACTAAATTTCCCAAGCTAGGCTGGAACTTGGGATCCTCCTGCCTCAGCCTCCCAGAGTGCTAGGATTATAGGCTTGCACTGCTTTGCTGGTTTAATCTGTTGTTAAATCAGTTCAAAGAATAATGGCTTAATAAAAAAATGACCGTAGAAGTGTTAATGAGCATTGATTCCACATGTTAGTAGGTTTTTTTTGTTTGTACCGGAGCTTGAACTCACGACCTTGCAATTTATTGTTTTTATTTATTTATTTTGGTACCGGGGATCGAACTCGGGTCCTTGCACTTTCAAGGCAGGCTGGAGCACCGCTGAGCTAAATCCCTGGCCTTATTAGTTGTTTTTAAATCTTAAAAGTAGAACATTTGTCAGAAATGGCGGCATATGCCTATAATCTCAGCACTCAGGAGGCTGAGACAGGAGGGTTGCCATGGGTTTGAGCTAGTCTGGACTATATAGCAAGACCTTGCCTCAAAGAAAAACCAAAAAAGAGGTTGAACCCCAGGGACCAAGGATATAGTTTAGCAGTACAGTGCTTGACTACTGAACTCCAGCCCGAAATCTAACCCCCAGAGCCACAACAAAACAGTAGAGCACTTAACCCTAGCACTCACTCATTCTCTGACCGACTCTCCGGCATTTCCTGGCAGGCTGAAAGCAGATGGGCGGGCGAGGTCAGCCCTTGCCCACAGCTGGGTAGGCAGATCGCTGCCACCCGCCAGCCAGGAGTTCCTCAGGGGATCACAGAGCAGGAACAGCAGCCCCACGTGGTCTCGGCCGCTCATCCGACTTCCTGGTCCTTAGTCCACCCGCCCCCCGGCAGCCACAGCCTCCTCTGTGTTTTAAGAAAGGGCCTTGCTGTGCCGCCCAAGCTGGTCTCCAACTCCTGGACTCCGGGGCTCTTCCTGCCCGAGCCCTTTCAGTCGCTGGGACCCAGGGGTCCCGCTGTGTCTGGCTCCCACGCCTTCCGGCAGTGCTGCGATGAACCCAGGGCCTCTGCAGATAGTGTGCGGCCTCCCATCGGGCAGTGCCCAGCCCCGGGCATCCTTTCCTTCTTTTCTCTCTCCCCTCTCTCTCTGTACTGGAGATTGAGCCCGGGGCCTTCAGAGTGACCTACATCCCAGGCAGAGTCCTGCCAAGTTGCTAAGCTGCCCAGGCTGGACTCACACTTGGCAATCCTCCCGCCTCAGCCTCCCAGAGTGCTGGCACCACAGATGTGCCCCACACACCCTGTCTTGTCCCTCTGTGCAGAGGGACAGAACCTCTCTCTTCGGACTGTTGAGCATTTTGAAATAGTGTGTGCGAAGCCCTGAGTGCGGGGCGTGTCACGGTCCTTTCTGTGGGACAGCTGCCACTGTCGCTGCCAGAGAGAGCCAAGTGCTCAGCCTGCCACACCGTTGGGCAGCGCATCCTACTGGTGCCCTGGCAAGGGGCACCCTCGGGTCCACACAGACCTGAGATCAGGGCATTGCCCCTCCCAACGGTGCAGGGTCCAGCCTCGCATCAAACTGGCTGAAGAAACTGAGGAACTTGAGCGATCGTTTGCACCTCATCAAGATATAACCCATACAGAATCCATTCTTAACACACCACCCTTCATTTATATGTCCCCTTTTTCGGTGTTTTTTGTTGTTTGTTTGTTTTTGGTATCGGGGATTGAACTCTGATCCTTGCGCTTGTGAGGCAGGTGTCAGAAAGCCTGAGCCAAATCCCCGGCCCTTTTTGGTGTTTTTTGAGACAGGGTCTCACTAAGTAGTTCAGACTGGTCTTATACTCACTATGTAGCCCAGGCTGGCCTCAAATTCACGATGATCCCCTTGCCTCAGCCTCCTGAGTGCTGGGATCACCGGTGTGTGCCATTACACCCAGCTCTTTGTTCTTTCTCACTTTTTATTTTGAGACAGGGTCTTGTTAAGTCTAAGTTTCCCAGGTTGGGCTCAACCTTGAGATCCTCCTGCCTCAGCCTCCCAGAGTGTTGGAATTACAGGCGTGCAGTACCACACCTGGCCTCCAAACTCTTCTGCTGCTGCTGCTGCAGCTGCTACTCCTATACTTACTACAAGTTACACGAGGCTGACGTGAAACCAGGTCAGGCGGAGGAGAACCCTGCCGCGATGGGACCTGCAGTCACGGTGGCCCGCGGTGTCTGCCAGCTGTGCGCTGCCCTCTCCCACAGGGCTGCTCTTTCCTGTGCGTGTTCGGTTTCCCTGGAGAAAAGGAGCCCAATGAGGTCACCCACGCCCTGGAGAGCGCTGTGGACATATTCGACTTCTGCTCAAAGGTCCCCAAGATCCAGTGAGTGTCTATGGGGTGGGGCTGGGCAGAAAGAAAGACGAGAACTAGGAACTCGGTTCCGTGCCTGGACTGTTTCGTGCCCCAGGCCTTGTACAATTGGTATAAACAACCAACAAAGGGTACAAGTTTTTTGTTGTTATTTTCAGACTCCCCCCCCCTCGTGGTACTGGAAATGGAACCCAGGGCCCTCACACAGAGATATATCCCTGCTCTTTTCTTCATTTTTTTATTTTGAGACAGGGTCTCTCCAAGTTGCCCAGAGTAGGCTTGAACTTGCCACCCTCCTGCCTCAGCCTCCCAGAGCGCTGGGACCACAGGTGGGCACACCACGTGAACTTTAGAGAATTTTTTTTGTTTTGTTTTGTTTTTTGTTTTTTGAGACAGGGTCTCACTATGTAGTTGAGACTGACCTGGAACTCACTATGCAGCCCAGCCTGGTCTCGAACTCAGAGCGATCCTCCTGCCTCAGCCTCCCGAGTGCTGGGATTACAGGCCTGCGCCACCACGCCCGGCTAGAGAATTATTCATCAAAACTCCTTTCCCAGCCCTCCCCACCCGCTTCATCGTTTTCCTTCCCTTCCATCTTTCTCTGCTCGTCATCATTTTTTAAACTCTTTTTTAAAATCTCTTTACTTCTCCACCACCCTCTCTCCCGCGCTAGTACCGTGTCCATCGGCGTGGCCAGCGGCATCGTCTTCTGCGGGATCATCGGGCACAGCACGCGACACGAGTACACAGGTATCACAGCCAGCCGGGCGGTGCGGACCGAGGGAGAGCAGGCTGGGTGTGCAGGGTCACGAGTGGGAGAGACGCGGTCCCTGGGCACCGGGGCAGGAGATGAGGGGCTCCTGGAAACCCCGGTTCATAATCACAGCTACTGAGCCCTGCTCCCGGGACGGGGTGGGTTAGGGTAGGGCTGCTGTGCCCGTGTGTGTGTGCGTGTGTGTGTGTGTGTGTGTGTGCGTGTGTGTGTGTGTGCACGCGCGTCCCTGAGGCTTGAACCCAGGGCCTTGGCTCCGAGCCACGCGCCCAGCCCTTGCTAAGCCCTGCTAAACCGAACAGCCCAGGCTGTGCTTAAACCTCTGGTCCTCCTGACTCAGCCTCCCAGAGCGCTGGGATCGCAGGCTTGTGCCACCGAGGCCTGCCTCTGTTTTTGTGCACCTCACCTGAGAGGCCTTGAGGCACCACCTGGCTCCCAGACCTCCTCGCGTCCCGGGCCGGCCCACCTGAAGCAGGCTGTCCCCTTGGCCTTGGGTGAGCCCGCTGGGGCCGACTGTCTGGAAGTGGCCATGGGAGAAACTCACCCGTGGTTCCCAAGCTGGGAGGGCGGGAAGGGCAGGCGTCGCGGGGGCCTGGCCTGCGACGTCACCGCTCTCAGTGGCTTTGCCTCCCTCGCTGCGCGCCAGTCATCGGTCGGAAGGTGAACATCGCCGCCAGGATGATGATGTACTATCCGGGGGTCGTGACGTGCGACTCGGTCACCTACAGCAGCAGCAGCCTCCCGGCCTACTTCTTCAAGGAGCTCCCCAAGAAAGTCATGAAAGGCGTCGCCGATTCGGGACCCGTCTACCAGTGCTTGGGCCTCAACGAGGAAGTGTGAGTGGGGGCGTGGAGTCCGCAGTGTTTCCGGGGAAACGGCGGGGGGGGGGCGGCGG